AAAAAAGTCTGAAAAAAATTGCTTTTACTGTTTAGGTCTTGACAGCTGCTGTTGCAATGACACAAACTGAATGGCAAACTTCCTACAAGTGGTCCAAGGCCAGTCAATGCACAGCTCACAGTAACTCTACAAGGGGGAGTGTTTACACAGTTCCTGGAATGGGGCTGCTGTTTGATGCAGTTCAGCCTGTACTGGCTATAGTGCCCTTAAACAATACTGGCTTCATTCATGAAGGAGTAAATGTGGCTCTGCATGAAGCTGTGCCACTGTGTAAAGATATATTACCGCAACCTTTTCCATATGATTCCCTCCAGAATCTTGAACTCCCAGCATTCTTGACCACTAGACATGCTGGCCAGGGCTGTTGGGTGTTGAAGTCCAATACCCCCAGCAATAGTAATGCCTTATCCAGCAGATAGCTGTTCTTGTTACTGACCTATAATGTATTCAAACATTAGCATGTAATGAGTGACAACACAAGCATGCATCTTTGACAATGTTCAGAAGACTAAAGGAAGGAGGAGTCTTTGGGATAGCAGCATCCTGCTTGTGGAATGCACCAAGAGAAGGACATTTCATTTCCCCAGGCAAGGAAATTTGCTTCAAACTGTTTTTACTCTTTGACATTTCTGTTTTTATGCCATATTTTAATTGACTTTCTATGAATTTGTCCAATCCTCTTTTAAAGCCATCCAAATCCGGGGCCATCACTACTTCCTGTGGGAGTGAATTTCAGTTAAAGTATGCATTGTATGAAGAGGTACTTCTTTTTATCTGTCCTGAATCTCCAACCAACCAGCTTCATTGAATAACCCTTGGTTCTAGTATCCTTTTCCTCTTTCATCATGCCATGCATTATTTTAAGCCCCTTTATCACGTCTGCCCTACTCGCCTTTTTTCTAAGCTAAAAAATCCCAGTTGCTGTAGCCATTTCTTATATAGGAATGTTCCAACCCCTTCATCATTTTAGTTGCTCTACACTAAACTCTCCAACTCAATAATGTTCTTTTTCAGGTAAGGCAACCAGAAATGTTTACAATATTCTAAGTGGTTTGCACCAAAGAGTTGTATAAGGGGAGTATGATCATGGCAGTTCTATTTTCAATTCTGTTCCTAATTATGACTCATATGGATTTTGCCTTTTTTTACTGCAGCCATGCACTGGGATGACATTTTCATTGAGCTCACAACCCCAAGATACCTTTTTGAACAGTCACTGCTAGCTCACATTCTATCAACCTATGCTAGAAGTTGGGATTTCTTGCTGTAATTTTCATTACTTTCTACTTTCTTACATTGAACAGTATTTGCCATTCTGAAGCCTGTTCTCCCAGCTTGGATAGATCCCTTTGGAGCGCTTCACATTTCCATTTATATATTTGTTTTCTATCCCACCCTGTTCCTTCCAAGGAACTCAAGGTGGGTTACATAATTCTCTTCCTCCTCTCAATCCTATCCTCACAACAACAACCCTGTGAGGTAGGTTGAATTGATAGTTTGTGACTGGCCCAATTAGCTCCCTAGGTGAATGGGGACTAGAATCCAGATCTCCTGAGTCCTAGTCCCACACTTTGAACCACTATAGCTCACTGGTTCTCTGAATTTCAGTTTTAACCACCCTAAATAGTTTGGTTTCATCAGCAAACCTGGCTACTTCCCTGCTTACAGATCATTTATGAATATGTTGAAAACCATTCATCCTAATTGGGGATCTGTGAGGAATCTTTTCTGGGGACAGGAATCCGTCAGAAAGGGCTCAGCTCTCAGGACTCTGGTCTGCTTTGCTGCAGCTCTGAGTCTGAGTTCCTGGCAAGCATGTCAAGTGTTCACACAGTGCTTGCCAGGAATCAAGTCCAGCAAGAATGCTGCGCAAGTGGTGTCCCTCTTCCATGTCACACGCAGCAGCCTTTGTGCTACATGTGACGCAGAAAAAGGTACCTGGCAGCACAACTTACTTTCCGCAACTGTTCACAGACTTCCTCTTGGCTCAGCTTGCTTTTTAAGGCAGGACCAAGCATGAGAGGAAGTCTGCAAGCACTAGAGGGATGGATTCCATGGAGCTTTGTAGCAACACTAGTCCTAATGCAGAACTTTGGGGACAGCGCTAGTTACATCCCTCCATTGGGTGAAATTGTAATTTATTTCCACTCTCTGCTTTCTGTTTTTTGACAACTTACTGTTCCATAAGAGGACTCCCCCCACCCCTTTCTATGGCTGCTAAATATGCTCAGGAGCCTTTGGTGAGGGACTTTGTCAAAAGCCTGTTGGAAGTCCAAGTAAAAAATGTCTATCACATCACCCTGTCTATGTGCTTACTGACAGTTTCAAAGAACTCTAATAGTTTAATTTATACAGTTTCTATTATCCAAAGCCAAAGGAAAGAATCCCTCCACTCCACCTCACATTTACATCAATTATTAATCTATCTTAATATAACCATTATACATTTTAATTATAATTAAGACCCTATTAGTTTGAGCACTGGTGGTGATTAATAAACTAATTGTCTTAAGTGAGAGAAGAAAAGCAGTACAAAGAAACTATGTCAGAAGATAGCAGTTGACTTCACATCTTCCTGTTCTATTCAAGTTTTATTCTTGCAGGAAGTTCTGAAAAAGGAGGGGAATAGGCTGACAATTCAGTCTGCTCAGGCACATTCTCTCTCTCTCTCTCTCTCTCTCTCTCTCTCTCTCTCTCACACACACACACACACACACACACACACACACACACACAGAAAGGGAGATTCCTCACAGGCCAGGTCTTTATTTCCCAGGATTATACATTCTTCTGCCAATACCCTAATATCTCTCCTCATATTGGATATACTCTCTCCCACTCTTCCTGCTTCCCTACTGGGTGTCCAATAGTTCTCAACTCTGATCAGATCAGGGAAGAGGAGGAAGAGGAAGTGTGTCAGAAAGCCCACAAATGCTTTGACTGGAAAACCTAAATCAGTTTCCTGTCATTTTCTTGCATTTGCAAGAGAGGAGTAGTAGAGTGGAAAGCCTCTGCAGAACTGCCAGTCACTGCTGGGAATAGATAATGCTACAGGGTCCAAGGTAGCCCTGCAGAACAAGTGGAGGAACAGAGCTCAAAGGCTGGGCCAGCAGTGAAGCCTGTTTCACAGACTTGGCTGTCTAAAAGCTCTTCTTCTCCTCAACTACCCAAGGCCTCCCTTTAAGTTCAAAAAATAAAGCATCTGGATGTCTTAAGGATATTCTATTAAACCACTGCTGTGATTTGTAATGGAAACTTAATGGGGACTCAAGGAATGCCAGAGAATTTTCTTTCTGTTCAGAACAGAACACAGCTCCCTTTTCTGGGACATCAGTGAAATAGCACTGCCAAAATCATCATTATTGTCAGGGTAATATCGCCCATTAGGAGTTAGTTCAGTCCCATCCGCATATTCTGCAGTGAGTAGATGACATATACTCACACATGAATAAATTTTTGACTCCTGTGCATGTAGAACATATTGTATGATCAGATGCATTAATTCCTATGGTTCTGTCCTTTAAATGATCTACCACCCAAAATTAAGGTACAGGTGGATCAAGTAAAATGGCAGAGTATTTTGCCCATATAGAGAGATGCAACCAATGACAAAACAAATTCTACACATAGCACTGGCTTAGTTTGTGAATTGGTCACATATCTCTATATCTATCAAATTGATTATGTCTTAACACAGGACAGGTCAGAAAAGGACTAAACTTAAGAAAGAGGCTGCTCGCATCCTGTTGCGGCTAGATGGCCTGATCATGTATTACACAATCCTGTTCAAGCGGCACTGGTCTAATTCAGTTTTAAAGTTCTAAAAGCTTTAAGTCCAGGTTAAATGAGCCTCTGGCTCCATCCATAAAAAACTGTGTGTGCTTTTAGATCCTCTTTGGAGACCCTGCCTTCCTGGCCCATCACCAAGATGAGAAAGGTGGTGAGTGCTAGAGAGAAGGTCCTCATAGTGGTGTCCCCTAACCTGTGTAACTGCTTCCCAAGAGATATACAATTGGATTTAACCATAGCTTCTTTTAAAAGGGATTTTAAAAGTGTTCCCTCTGGCTTTCAGCTGTAATATTTTCCTGCTATTTCATGATTTAAATAAATATTATCACACCATATTACATTTATATCACACTTCAGGGAAAAGTGTGGACTAGAAACAGCATCTCCCAAGTCCCAGTCCTACACTCTACACTACACTGGCTTGTTTGAAATGATATTTATTTTAATTGCCAATTTAAAAAATTGATACAGAATTTTATTATTTTATATTGTATGCTCATTTGGTCTTGAAAGGCAGCTAAGGTGTATTTCATTAAATAAATGAATTAGAAGCTCTGGGCTACTGCCAAGAACAGCACCTTGCACTGATGTCCCATCTTACTGCTTACTCATTTTACTTTGCATCTGACATGATTTCACCATGTGTTTCCCTGCTACTATGAAGCAATAACATATTAGAAGGAGTGAAATACAAGGTGACTGGGTTCAGACAATACAATAAGGTTTGTGTATGGGTTGACTGCAGGTTTCACTAAATTGTGGGTTATTGTTCAAACTTGGATTGTTGTTGAAACATGGGTTATCCTGTTATCTAAATCAAGCTATACTAATAAGCCACAGCTTGTTAGCCACAAACTTCCCATGAAAAGAACCCATGGTTTGTTGTAGGGTTTGAACTGTGAGTTTTTAACTATGCTTTGAAAGGAAGTTAGCTGAGGCAAGCTCTCCAAACTAAGGTCGAGGTGGGGGCAATCTTCTGGTTTGAACCAGTTTTCTCTGCTTTAGAGAATTTGGAATGTAGTTTTCTCTGTATCAGAGTATCTGTATTGCACATTTATGAGCAGAAATTGTATATTTCTTTTGCGAATAGGGCGGCATAGAAATGGTCTGAATGAATGAATGAATGAATGAATGAAATATAAGCTTTCTTAATTTTTTCAGGCAAAATCAATGCACACCACAAATTGTAAAAATAGCAGAGTTGTACTTACAGTTTGTGAACGATTCGATCTATTGTTAAAATTGGCAACATTGAGGCCATCAACAACAATATCATAAGGAGGCTGCTGATTCACAAATGCCTGGAATTCCTCCAGTTCCTAAAAGAAATATTAGAAATAAAGGAAGAGTGAAAAAGGCAACAAATGAAACATAACCACCCCATCATACTCTTCTTTTGTTCTCTCTAGATATATGTTTATTACATCATTGCTCTGTGCAAGAAGTGAAATTAGCAATGGGTACACAATTCTGTATCTGACAATACCCAATATTCATTTCTAAATTATTTTAAAAATGAAATGCAAGTTTCTAGCATTCTGTTCATAATGATACTGTTGAAAGTATAAGGGTAATAGCTGATGATAACCTAGAACATAGGATGAAGGACATTTGTAGCCAGCAAAGTTTTTCACCACTTACCTAACATATATGTAAAATTGACATAATTTATTATTTTATTATCCTATTTCTTCTAGATTCCAGCAGAAACAGAATTATATAAAACAATTTGTGCCAATTTGCATGCCCTCTGGAGATTGCAGAATTTTTCTTGCCATAAGACTGGAAAGCCAGTTAAAGAATTTTGATTTTTTCAAAAATGTTGAACACATATCGGAGCTGCCTCCAAACTGTTGCTAGAAGCAGCATCTGGAATAACAATTATTTACACCTGCAGTAACTATACATCTTACGCTCTCTTAGGGCACAAATGTAAGAATTAATACGTCAGGAAATAAGGGCCTAGCGTAAAGAACCAATTTCTGTTGAATCACTATGACATCTATTAAACATAAAAACAATCTAGACACAAATATTTCCAAGACAGGTGTATTCTCCTGGCATGAATTTTACATTTAATCATGTCAAAGCCTTCTTTAAACCATATAAATATTTAATAGGAACTTACCATTTTAAAAATAGAGAAAATGTGGTTGCCTTATAAACTGTTCAAAGCAATGCCAATAATTGTCTTTGAATTATTTTGATGTAAATTCTAAACTACAGAGTTTAGTAAACTAATACTATGTTTAGTAAACAGAGTTTGGTAAATTGTATGGATACATTCATGGTGTCACATGAATGCACACACGTACTCTGCTCTAATCAGTTACTTGCACATTTGTGGAAACCAGAGTTTGCTGTTACAACCAATCTGGGAACTGTGGTTTCTCTGATCCCTCCTAACCAGGACTGCAAATCAGGATGAACTCTCTCAGAATAAGTAGCAGCTGTCTCTGTGGGCTGTGAAGAAACAGTACCTTTGCCAACTCCTCTTCTATGGGAAAAAAAGCATGGTCTAGACCAGGGGTCGGCAATCCGTGGCTCCAGAGCCGCACGTGGCTCTTGAACCTCTCTGCTGCGGCTCCATGGCTCAAAACATGCGCCACGCTGATCTGCTCGAAGCTCCACTCAGGAAGGCAGAGTTAGCTAGTTAAGTAAACCAGCTAGGTAAGTAATCGCTACATTCCTCTGCTAAACAAGCTTCCTGCAGGATCTCATGTTACATGAAAAGCTGCTGAAAAGATTCTCTTTGTCCCAATGTAATCTCGTTCATCTGCATGTTAAAAGCTGTGCTTGGGACCTGTCACAATTCACATCACTTGACTTTTTATCTGCTAATCAGTCACTAAACACACCTATATCTGGGACCTGGCGCCAATTTACTGAGCTTTCCCCCCTCCAACCATGGATAAATCGGAAGAAAAGTTTCTAAAGAAAACCGAACACGTGGGTAGATTCATTTGCTTTTACTGGTGACGAACTTATGGGGTTTGCTGTTTAATGCATGCAGCCCTTTAGCACTGACTTTCTGCAGGAAGCTGTTCTCCTATTCAAAATATATGAAAGGAATCCTACTAGTTTATAATGTAAGATTAAAAATAACAGTTTTTAGTGACTGAACAAGAGCTGCAGCTAAATCATAATGAAGATATAGATCTACTTCATTGTTTTAAGAAGATTCTTATAAAAATTCCAGCAACATTATTACACTGGGAGAGGGCTGTTTGTTCAATATTTCACCACGTGATAAAAGGATGAGGGCACACAGAAGCAGATGGCATTTTTGGTTTGCTGCTAGTGGATAATATAAGTTCAGCTTTTTATTTCATAAATACGAGGAGGACTCAGATAGACATTGAGGAAAGTATCTTTTTTTTTCAGAGTTCAAAATGTTTTGGTTGCATGCAGAAATAAAATTTATTTTAAATAAAAAAAATTATTTTTAAATAAAAAATTATCTTCTCTGTAGCAGTTCATTGATTTCATAAATGCAACACACTATAGTTTTTTTATACATAGCATAAAGGTAAAAAACTATATATGCAGTGTTATCTTCATTTTAGATGTCAAAAGGGTTTTGCAGCTCCCAGTGTTTTCTTTTCTGTGGGAAATGGGTCCAAATGGCTCTTTGAGTGTTAAAGGTTGCCGACCCCTGGTCTAGACTGAATACATAGATAATGGATGTCATGAGTGGAGCCAGCTGGAGCCAGGGGTCAGACTAGATGGCCTGAGAGATCCCTTCTGACTCGCTCTGTTTCTATGTTTCTATAATATGGGGGTGGGGGGGACAAACAAACAAACAGGAATGGGCTTCCAGGGTGTGAAATGGGCTTCCACAGGAGGTGGTTGAGGCCCCATCAGTGAGGGTGTTCAAGGATAGGCTAGACAGGCTAGACACGCACATGGTAGGCCTATTGTGAGCGGAGCCGGCTAGAGCTGGGGGTCAGGCTAGATGGCCCAGGAGACCCCTTCTGATTCGCTCTGTTTCTATGTTTCTGGAGTGGTGGGCCTTGTACTACAGGTTTTCCCTGCTAAGTGAGTGTTCTAGGAACCCATCTGCAACAGTGTACACAGCTGGGTTGTTGTAAGAGGCTGCTTTGGCTTCAGCGAGGGTTTTTTTTAGGAGACTGTTTCAACATGTTTACCTATTTCATGATGGCTGATTTGCATGAGCAACGTGAAGTGGTGAAATTTTGTTCAGCTGAGTGTTCAGCAGTTTTTGACCTAAAATGGCATGACCCTTGTGCCGCACCCTCCTTATTCACCCAATCTTGCCCCATGCAACTTTTTTTTTTTTTGTTTCCTTGGATGAAAAAAGTCCTCAAAGGTAAACGGTTTGCCAGCGTGGAAGAGGTGAAACAAAAAACAGCAGAAGCGCTAAAAGACATCAGACTCAATGAGTTCAAAACTTGTTTTGAGCAGTGGAAAAAACATCTTGATAGGTGTATTGCATCAAACTGAGAGTACTTTGAAAGTAACTTAAGTATGAACATGTAAAAATAAATACACAGTTTTTAATAAATAACTTCCTGGGGGGGTTTGGGTCCCCCCTCATATAGCTGAAAAAAACTCACACTGGGCTCCGAGACAGGAAGGACTGTGGCTATGAACATGCAAGGATGTATTTGAGGTTTGGAGTAGTGCAGACCAGAGAAAGCACAAGGCCAAAAAGAGCTGAATCTAATTAATGAAACAAACCAATTCATTTAAAAAATATCATGGGTGTTCAACATAAAGTAATAGTACTGAAATTGATGGATCACCACAGAATAGCAAGAGGAACTCCTTGGCTTGGGGGTTTTGTTTTTAGGCCACATTATGGTCCACAACGTATATTTTTTTAAAAAGGCAAACTGACAATCTTATCAATACTCAACACAACACATTTTATTCTAGGGCTTGGTGTTAGTCACCAGTTTGTTAGATTCTGAACTCAGTTCTTGGTTGTTTTGTCAAAATTCTTGACAGAAAACATGCTGGGAACTCCCACATATTTACTGCATTACACAAAATGTTACACCAGGATCATTTCCTCAAATGAACCTTGTCAACTCACACACACAAATCACTGCTGATGTTTCTGCAGCACTAAATGAAAGCAGAACCAATACACAAATGCTTACTCCATTTTTTAAGAGGAATATGCCACAACATACTGCCAAGTGCATGCCTAGCGCACAGGCTCTGTGTTAGTTCCACAAAGAACAATGCACAATCCTCTCATAATAGGTTGTAATACCAACAACCTTACTGGAAAAGAAAGCACATAGTCAGTCATTTTCTCTAAGTTGCTTGCCTTTGCTCCAGCTGTAATTCTGTATAGGACCTCACTGCCACAACAATGTTGAAGCTACATGGTAAATCAGAGATGAACATATATTTGAAAACTTTTCTGACTCTCTGCACTTTTTGTCCAGATCTTGTCCAGAAATTTGATAAAACAAATCAGAAGTAATGTTACAGTATAATAAGATCCAACCCCTTCTCTAGAACCAAGAGAGTGTATTTCTGCAATTAAAACTTCTAGTTTGGCAGATTTTTACTTTGTGAGACATGCCTTCTCAATAATATGGTAGCCACTTAAACCATGTAGAAGAAGAAGAAATCTATCACCAAAACAAAGATGCCAGAGAGTATATCTGTTATTTGCAAAGTCACATCCAACACATCACGACCCCATGGACAACATTCTTCCAGGCCTTCCTGTCCTCCACCATCTCCTGGAGTCACTTAAGCTCACACCAACTGCTTCACTGACTCCATCTAGCCACCTCATTCTCTGCCATCCCTTTCTTCTTTTGCCAGGGAGTTCTTCCTTCTCATTAGGTGGCCAAAGTATTTGAGTTTCATCTTCAGGATCTGGCCTTCTGAAAAGCAGTCAGGGTTGATCTCCTCTGTGACTGAGTGGTTTGATCTCCTTACAGTTCAAGGGACTTGCAGGAGTCTCCTCCAGCACCACAATTCAAAGGTCTCAATTCTTTGGCGCTCAGCCTTCCTTATGGTCCAGCTTTCACATTTGGAGTATGCTAGATATTTATTTATTTATTTATTTATTTATTAAAACATTTTTATGCCGCCCCATTCGCCGAAGCCTCGGGGCGGCTTACAACATTAATAATTAATTAAAATAATTAATAAAATTAGAGATGCAGTTCTGAGTGTGGGGGAGAGAACTGTCAGTAGGGATGAGTGAAATACTGCTCTGCAGCAATCTTACTACATATTTTACCTATCAAACATTGTTGCTCATTTTGCAAAGATGTATTAGGCATACACTGAATCTAATCCTTAAGAGGAACCCTGTTAGATCAAATCA